AAAAATACACACGTGCTTCCCCATGAGTTTTAGAAAAGATTTACAAAAAATCTATATATATATTAATCAGCATTTATATGTAATTCAACATTTATAGTAATAAGAAATGTTTTTAAGCAGCAAATAAGCATATTAGAATGATTCCTGAAGGATCATGTGACACTGAAGACTGAAGTAATGGCTACTGAAAATTCAGCTTTGCCATCACAGGAATAACAATTAAACAAAAATAGTAAAATAGAAATTGTGATAATCTTTCACAATATTACTTTTTACTGTATTTTTAAACAAATAAATGCAGCCTTGGTAGCATAAGAGACATTAAAAAAATACCAAAAAAATATTACCCACCCCAAACTTTTGAATCCAAAATCCAATAAGTCTCCTGAAATATTAAATAAAGTATTAAAGGAGACACGTGGTCACACGATGTTTAGATTTGCCATCCATCTTGAATGTGTCTTGATCACACAAACCACCTCATGAAAACTCAAACACTAACTGTTATATGAAGTGAAGAGATCGTTTAACAGAAAATGTTGCTGCCTGGCATTAGCATCATCATGGAATAAACTCCAGAATATTTGTATGTGCATAGGAACAGAAGATCAGATTTACATATTTATTTTTGGAAACACGTTTTATGTGGTCAAGTATAAATAGAACCTCCAGTCAGATAGCAATCATCAAAGTAAACAGGCCAAAAGAGTGACCTGAACTGAGTGAACTTTCCTCTAGAAAGGGCCTCAATACACACCAGCACACCACACTCACGCATCTTGATTTTGCTCTAAATGTTCACGCAATGCCATCAAGCTACTTAACCGTGAGCACGGTGCATGATTCCGTTAGCGTAAACACAAAAAAGTGTGAATGTTCCAACCTCGCTCTGGTGACCACTGTGAGCCGTACGATGAGCGTGTGCTCTGAGCTGTTCATGTGGAAATATGACCCACGCACCGTTTTACTGATATCCCAACTCAGCACTATCCAAACCCAGAGAACATAACAAAACTGGCCCTGCTTCAGTACTATGCAGGCTCCATGAACCGCTTCTGAAACACTTCAATGCAGCCAAAACCTGCTGTTTACGTTAGCGTTACTGTTCTGAAAATGGGCTTGGATGTGTAAAAATAAATGAGCATCCATTTTGAAGGTTAGATTTGTGTTTATTTTAAAGGTGACATATTATGCCCCTTTTTACAATATGTAATATAAGTCTCTGGTGTCCCCAGAATGTGTCTGACTATGTAAGATGTGTGGGTGTATGGTAACTATGCAAACCATTCTGAGAATGCTTGTTTAGTAGCCATTTATTTGGCAAGCTCAAATTTAGCATTCTAACATAATACAATACACATGGTGGCAGTAAACAAGCTAATGTGATACAATGTGATGAAACCTAACAGGTAGATTAATTGACAGTATATTAATTACATTAACAGTTACATTAAAATGTTTTCTTATTAAAAATACAACAAAATGACATGAAAATGAATCGTCTCACATCATTTACCAACACATTTGTTTAGGACTGTTTAGGACTGTTTGCGCTTGAAACAGTGCCTGATTTTGGCATATTTTTCTCCTGAATTAGACGTCAACTTATTCACTGAAGAAAGCAATATTGAAGAATGAAGTGAGGACTTGTATTTTACCCAGAAGCAACAGTTTGAAGAAAACCTGAAAGATTTGTTTCTTAAAGGGGTCATATGATGCGATTTCAAGTTTTCCTTTCTCTTTGGAGTGTTACAAGCTGATTGTGCATAGATAAGATCCCTGAAGTTGCAAAGACTAAAGTCTCAAAACCAAAGAGATATACTTTATCAAAGTTAAGACTCTGCCACGCCCCCCTAAAATGGCTCGTTCTAACACACCCCCACATATCTACCTCACTATGTGGAAATATTTGCATAATGCGCCCAAATGTGCACGCAAAGAAAGAAGGCGTGGTTTCAGTAACCGCAGTTACTGTTGATGCAGCCATGTCAGGGAGACCGTGTGTGTTTCAGTGCAAAAGCACTTTATTTGGCCTTCCGAAAGTAGATGCATTTAGGAATCTTTAAGATTACTTACAACAGAACAGCAACGCATTTTATGGACGACCGTTTC